TAGAGCAGCATTTCTCTCTCCGCCCCCATCACCCTGTCTAGGGTGAGGCTCTGGGATCTGGGCCTGGAGGAGGGAAAACTTGACTGATTACACTGGCCTCCCCCAAAGCTCCTTTTAGCAAGCAAGCGCAGGCTGTTCCACCTTCCTGTAGCCTAGCAACCCCAGCCTCTGACAACTGATTTATTGGAAAAAGCTTAACTTTCCCCAAGGTTTGTTTGCTTTTTTTCCCCTTGCTCTCTTTCCATCCCTTCTCTTCCCCACTCCTGCTAGCTCCACTCCCCTAAATTCTTCTCTCAATCCTTGACTGTGAGGGAGGAGGGGGGATGATTATTTCACCTTCAATCTCGTGGACGTGACCTCTCTCCCACCCTCCATCCTCAGGTGACACCTCTGGTCCCTTCTCTATGTGATGGACAGAGTGACCTCGCTAACACTCAGTTCTAATGAGCTTCCTGCTATGATCAGCCCGATTCATATGTTAGACCCTTACCCCCAAGGTAATAGTTTGTGAGGTGGAACTTGGGGAGAAATAAGAATAAAGAGGCCCAGGAGAGTTGGCTCTCCCTTTCTCCACATGAGGATACAGGTGTTCTGTGCACAAGGAAGCTGATTCCTTTAAAAGGGGCACTGATCTGCCAGGGCCTCTATGTTGGGTTTCCAGGCTCCAGATCAGCGGTTCTCAACATGTAGGTTGTCAAGCAACCCTTTCGTAGATGTCCTTTGTGTCTGCCTCTTGAATACCGCAGATGGAGCATGGACATTCTAGTCAAGCACTTTACTACTAAGTACATCTCCAGCCCCTCTTCTTAAATTTGAGACAGCATCTTGTTAAATCGCTTTGGTCAGCCCTGAAGGCTTTGAGGTTTCCATCTACCTGCCTCAGACTCCTGAGTAGCTAGGATTACAGGCCTGAGCTACAAACCCTGACACACTCCTATCTTGCTTCAAACCCTTTGCTAGCTGCCAAAAGAAATACCCTGAAAAACCCTTCAGCAACTAGCCCTGTCTTTCTATTTCGTGTGGATGCTGGGCCTCTGCCCCTCCTGATTACAGTTCTTCTCTTTGTCCCCATGTCCTCGTGCATATTGTCCCTGTGCTAGGGATGCCCTGTCTGCTCACTTAGCTTTGAGATAGTCTTCAAGATTTAACTTCAGCATGGGCTCCTCTGGGAAGCTTTTCTCCTGCATCAACTAGGCAGGACTGGCCACACCTTCCTCTGTGCCACCACCTACTTCTGGGGGCCATACGGGGGAGCTGACATACAGGGAGTGAACTAGACATGAAGGGCAAATGGGCAACCCAAAGATGCGAGGAGAGAAAGGGAAGGGAGGGAAGTAGGAAAGAGCAAGGAATGAGGGGGAGAGGGAAGTGAGAGAGGAGGGAGGAGGGAGGGAAGAAGGAAGGGAAGAGGAAGAGGAAGGAGGTAGGAAAGGAAGTTGGGAGGGAGGTGGAAGAAGGGAGGGCTGAAGAGAGGGAGGGAAGGACCATAAGACAAACAAGCCAGTGTGAGCATCCAGAGGCCAATGTTGGAAGCGGGCAGGAGGATGAAGTCCTGAGGATATATGCTCCAGGATGAAAGTGCTCCAACCTGTGGCCCAAAGCACAGTGGCAGCTTCTTGAGTGGGACCAGGACATATGGTAAGGGCCAGATCAGCGGGGCTCATCTGCTCCTTCCTGTTCCAGCCCTTGCCCGGTACCCTGGGAAGGCTACCCCCGCTATGGCAGTGCCATCAGGCTGAGCTTGACCAGTAAGAAGTGTTCGTGGGAAAGCAGGGGGTGGGTGTTTTCCCTGCCTTGGGAGCGTTACTCCGACTCCTGCAAGGACATGCCTGGCCGCTATTCCCACGTTTGGCAGGGACTACAACTTTGGTCTTGGGTCCATCACTGCCTCCAGCTCTTTCTCTTCCAGTTCCTGTAGAAGAGGATTGCTTTTAAACGTTCTGGGTGGCCACCTCACCTCCTAGTTGATTTCCCAGTGGCTTCTGCAGCCCGTGTTCCAGTTTCCTGGTTAAATCCTTCCAATCATAAAGCTCTGTAGTGGTCCCCCTTTCCTTGTTGGTCCCTGAGTAATGTTGGTGGCTCAGAGGTGGGGTCACTGTCTACCTGGGAGGAGATGCTTCCCTCCTCCCTGTCTCCAGATGGGTCTTGATCCTGCAATGCTCCTGCATTTGCCTCCTGAGTGCTGTACCCTCCCAACACATACCTAATTTGTTATGTAGAGAGGTTTACATACTTATATTAAATCACATGGGTTGAACTGGGCATGTGCTATTGCTGCTCGCTTGGCACTCTAAGGGCTCACTGTGCAAAGGTGGGTCTCTGGGAGGGGAGAGCCTTGTCTGCACTGTGCCTCTCACCTACGAGGGAAGAGCTGGAGTTTTGGCTTTATTTCACTGAATTCCTAATGAAAAAGTAACAGAGAGAGATGTGGGGGAAGCAGGGGGCTGGTGAGAAGGGCTGACAGGTATGGAGAAAGAAAGGGAGGGAGGGAAAGGGAGGCCGCAGCAGGTGAGCCTGTGTTCAGCACAGGCTCTGTATGCTGTAGCTCAGTCAATATTGGTTCAAGGAACAACTAAACAGAGGAACTAGAGGGGAAAGGTGGGGTTCACAGCCCAGCAAAAGTCAGGTAGGGCTTGGCCTCTGTTCCTGTAACTGCCCTTTCCAGTTCTCTCTATGACAACAGCCTTCTGAGCTGTTTCCTGGCCTCTAGTCCTCCTGAGCACAGCTCCGGGAGACTATATAAATAAATAGATAAATAAAGAAATAAGTAGATATATAAATATCACCATCTTAGTTGCTTGAGCTACAATACTCCCATGGTCTCCAGATGTGTAACTATTAAATTCTGCTGGACACATCCAGACTGGGATTTCTCCAGTCCCTCCTCATTCTCGGGATACAAGTCTTTTCTGGGGATGATGGCTTCCTTGGAGGCCATAGCGTTCAGCCTCAGATCTTCTTTCTAGATCTTTCCTTGTTTCTGTCTTTATCTCTTTAAGACCTGGCGATCCTCTTCTGGTTTGAGACAGGGCCAAGGAACAGGAAATTTGAAAGGTGAACTCAGATTTGCACTTGATCCCACATCCCTTTCTCCTCCAATACTTTGCTTTTGGTACTTGCTGGGTCTAGGGACCCCATTCTGGTAGCCTGGCGGTCATTCAGCAGCTTCTTAGTCATTGTCTCTTGAGTTTCTGAGAAAGAAATAGGCTTTACGGACACAAATGGCCCAGTTCCTTGAGTAGAAGTCTTATGATTGTCAGATCTGGGCATGCTGCTGGGCAGGTGACAAGATGAAGGAGCTGGGCAAGCGGTGCCTCACCAGAACCCTCCTAGTTGAAAGACCACACTCAGGGGACTCTAAGCAGGAGAAAAAGACTGAACTTGAGGAATGGCTGAGGGTGATGGTGATGGAACCAGCAAGGGCAATTCTGATGGTGTTCCACCAGAATGAAGCCATGAAGGACAGGGAGATGCTCAGGAAGATTCTGGGCTTTCTAGCTGGAAACATGTAGTTTCTGGAGACGTGTTGAGTATCTTAGGAGGGGACAGTGTGGGCACTAGCATGTTGCTAAAAGAGAGGTGCGGCTCTCCATCTTCACTGGCAGACCTGCTGGGGAGGGAGAGGGCCTGGGTTTTAGGCTGGGAAGCAAGGTGGGATGTCAGGGAAGAGGCTCTTTCTGTGGCGAGATTTAGAGAAGTTTCCTGGAAAAGATGGGTGAGCAGAAGGTCAAGCCCAGAAGACAAAGCAGGGCAGGGAAGGACGGCAGTTGAAGATGGGTCCTCCCATAGGGCTGACCAGGTCCAGCTCTGTTTAGCCTCCATACTCAGATGAGACTTGGCATGTTCAAGTATCCCAGTGAGCACCAGGGATGAATTCCAAGAGATCCTATCTCCAAGTGGTTTTGAGCATTTGAGAGCCTAGGTTTTGATTAGCACTCAGGCAGAGACTGGGAAGTCTTTATTTCACTTTTGGGTTCGCATATGCAAAAGTACTTCAAGCATTCGGGGAGCTACAGAATGACGATTCTGAGATGCTAACTACATGTGCAAGTTCTAAAGCTCAGAGGATGTTGGGAGATAGGGACCTGAGCTTTAGAGTCCGGAGGCCCACAATCAGGAAGGGATGCTACCAGCAGCTCTAGCAGAGAGCCCACCCTCTAAGAGCGAACATTTTGTGGATGGGACAGAAAATAGAAAGGCTGATGACAGTTAAGGCCTGAGGTAGATGGACTGTGACAAGGGACACATGGCAGCAACACAGTGCCGGAAGTCAGAGGTCACCTCAAGAGGTAGGGTGGGGTGACCAGCAAGGGGCTGATTGTAGGTCGATTTGGGACACTTTTATGAAGGAAACAATGTGAACCTGACCTGAGAGAGTGGGCAGCTTAACGCTGCAGCAAGGGCAAGGGTGTGACACTCAAAGGAACCAACCTGAATTGGGGAGTGAAGCTGGAGGTAGAAACTGGAGCCAGCTAGCCGATGAAGGACTGGGTGCTGGGTGGAAAAGTTCAAATAACCTGACAGTGAGGTATAGCTAATGAAGGTAGGTGACGAGGGACAAACCGGCACTGGTGTGGTTCAAACTGGCTTTTAGATTTCAGAGTGAAAGTCCTGTCTGGCAGGAATGGCTATGAAGAGAGAGACCTGGGAGGCTTTGCTCCAGCCTGACGACCGGAGCAGCTCATTTTCCTGATGGGCCCTTCAACCTTCTTCCCCAGCCTTCTTGTATGGCCAGACAGGGCCTCTGATAAGAAGGGCAAGGTTACACGGGATAGCCTGTGTACAGTGGCAGCTCTGGAGGTATGTTACATTTAAGGGGGATCCTCTGTCCAATCTGACCTTATCCTAGGCCAACCTCTTTGGGGGAGGGGAGAGGATCACATAGCTGCCCTGGGTCTCTTTCCTTCCCGTTTGGACCTCTTCTGCTCAGGGGTCTGTGGTTCCCACCGTCCTGCCAGATCTCTTGCACCCTCGTGTTCACCTCTGTTTATTCGCTCTTGTTTTAGGGGACCACCTTGAGGAATCCACCGCCCCAGTGTGTAAACATGCACACTGTGTTTTGCACACCACAGGTAAGCAGCCTTCTTGCCCACTTCAAAAGCAACACAGTGAACTCACTTCTGTTGTCTTAGGCTCAGTCTGACCAGCACGCCATGATCTCACCAGGAGGACACGGGATAATAGCCATATAAAAGCCTTCCCTGGGAGTGGACCGGCTTTCGAAGGAAAGAGGAGAAATTGTTCCTCCCAGTAGAGTTCCCTCAGAAGTCTGCAGAGGAGCTGACTTCCAGCCCTCAGGGAGTTTGCTGCCAAGGCATTCCACCCAAAAGGAATGTGGAATCCCTGCTGGGAAACAGGTTTTTCACTGTTCTGTGGAGCCAAGACTAAAGCCTGTTGCTGTCCAGACCCAAGGAGACACAGGTCCTCAGGGTCATGGAGCTTGATGTACAGACTCCTCCGTCCATTGTCGAGGGGGCCCATGCGGGTGGAAACAGCAACCTGGCTCCTAAGGGGAGAGACTTAAAATAGTGCTAATCTTCCTAGCTGCTGCTGGAGCTGAGCACTCCCTGTGAGCAGGCGCCCTGCCAATCTCTCCTCCCAAATGACCTCCTGTCCATTCCTCCCCTGGGAGGGGACACATGGCCATGGCATCCACCTGGATAGTGGCCCTCAAGCTCACAGCCTGCACACAGTGTCTGCTCATGGTGGGCTGACAGTGTGTCAGATTCCTGCCCTGGCCTGAATTCTTGTCACCAGCTTCTGGGGTAGGCATATTTGTCTCCGGTTTTTTTTTTTTTTTTTTTTTTTTTTTTTTTTTGAGGTCTTTTGGAGATTAAGTAACTGGCTATAATTACCTGATTTAAAAAAGGCAGAGCCAGGTAAACTCAAGGCCAGGCCACAGATGCCAAGCCACTTAGCTGTTTCTCTGTGATCTCCTTCAGTGACCAAAGCGGCTGTCCAGTCCCTGTCCTGTTCACATCTCTTGACCTTCAGAAACAAACCTGAGACTGAGAGAGAACACTGTGTCCCAGGTCCAGCCTCAGCCGGAGGGGAGAAGCTGGCTTCTCCCAAAGGCCTCAGCATCACAGGAAGCTGGTCCATCAGGGTAAACCTGGAGGCCGCCCTATATTCACTTCTTTCGTTTGTCCTCTTGGGCTTGCCATCCTAGACTTGATTTACCTCAATGTCTGTATAGCTCTGGGCTGAGTCCCCAGTACTAGGCATGGAGTAGGGTCACCAACGATAAATGAATTCTGGTACCAGGGTTAACCTAAGCGTGAAGGAGACCATTCGCCACCCTCATCTGATTTTATCTATGAAAGGCACTGCGGGCCCTCAGCTTTTCAGTGGGTAGCTCTCCCTCTTCTCTGCTGGCTGATGCTCACCTCTTGTAACCCTTTCCTCAAATAAGGCCAGACCTTAACTTAGAATTGTCCCCACCCCCGGAGAATGCTAGCTTCCAGACATCCCTTCCCATCCAAGTTCATATTGTGGGAAGAGTATGATTCCCATGCTTCCTGGGGGTTAAAACCAAGGCAGAGGGCTGGAGGCATAGCTCCGTGAAGTCTTCCTAAACCCGTTCTCTTGGCCCCCTCTCTGATGTGTATGTGCCTGTGAGGCTGTTGAGTGTTTTCCACGGGAATCAAAGACTTTTCTTTCTTCTTTTTTTTTTTGACTGTTTTTCTTTTTTTTGCTTATTATTATTTTTTTTAATTTATTAAAGATTTCTGTCTCTTCCCCACCACCACCTCCCCTTTCCCTCCCCCTCCCCCAATCAAGTCCCCCTCCCTCGTCAGCCCAAAGAGCAATCAGGGTTCTCTGCCCTGTGGGAAGTCCAAGGACCACCCACCTCCATCCAGGTCTAGTAAGGTGAGCATCCAGACTGCCTAGGCTCCCACAAAGCCAATACGTGCAGTAGGCTCAAAAACCCATTGCCATTGTTCTTGAGGTCTCAGTAGTCCTCATTGTCCGCTATGTTCCGTGAGACCTGTTTTAACCCAGGCTTTTTCAGACCCAGGCCAGCTGGCCTTGGTGAGTTCCCGATAGAACATCCCCATTGTCTCAGTGTGTGGGTGCACCCCTCGCGGTCCTGAGTTCCTTGCTCGTGCTCTCTCTCCTTCTGCTCCTGATTTGGACCTTGAGATTTCAGTCCGGTGCTCCAATGTGGGTCTCTGTCTCTGTCTCCTTTCATCGCCTGATGAAGGTTAATATTCAGGAGGATGCCTATATGTTTTTCTTTGGGTTCTCCTTCTTATTTAGCTTCTCTAAGAACCCGAATTATAGGCTCAATGTCCTTTATTTATGGCTAGAAACCAAATATGAGTGAGTACATCCCATGTTCCTCTTTTTGGGTCTGGCTTACCTCACTCAGGATAGTGTTTTCTATTTCCATCCATTTGCCTGCAAACTTCAAGAAGTCCTTGTTTTTTACTGCTGAGTAGTACTCTAATATGTATATATTCCATACTTTCTTCATCCATTCTTCAATTGAAGGGCATCTAGGTTGTTTCCAGGTTCTGGCTATTACAAACAATGCTGCTATGAACATAGTAGAGCATATACTTTTGTTGTATGATAAGGCCTCTCTTGGGTATATTCCCAAGAGTGGTATTGCTGGGTCCATGGGTAGGTTGATCCCGAATTTCCTGAGAAACCTCCACACTGCTTTCCAGAGTGGTTGCACAAGTTTGCATTCCCACCAGCAATGGATGAGTGTACCCCTTTCTCCACAACCTCTCCAGCAAAGGCTATCATTGGTGTTTTTGATTTTAGCCATTCTGACAGGTGTAAGATGGTATCTTAAAGTTGTCTTGATTTGCATTTCCCTGATCGCTAAGGAAGTTGAGCATGACCTTAGGTGTCTTTTGGCCATTTGAACTTCTTCTGTTGAGAGATCTCTGTTCAGCTCAGTGCCCCATTTTATAATTGGGTTGATTAGCCTTTTACGGTCTAGTTTCTTGAGTTCTTTATATATTTTGGAGATCAGACCTTTGTCAGTTGCGGGGTTGGTGAAGATCTTCTCCCAGTCAGTGGGTTGCCTTTCTGTCTTAGCAACAGTGTCCTTTGCTTTACAGAAGCTTCTCAGTCTCAGGAGGTCCCATTTATTCAATGAGGCCCTTACTGTCTGTGCTGCTGGGGTTATACGTAGGAAGTGGTCTCCTGTGCCCACGTGTTGTAGAGTACTTCCCACTTTCTCTTCAATCAGGTTCAGTGTGTTTGGACTGATATTGAGGTCTTTCACCCACTTGGACTTGAGTTTTGTGCATGGTGATAGATATGGGTCTATTTTCATTCTTCTACAGATTGACATCCAGTTTTGCCAGCACAATTTGTTGAAGATGCTCTCTTTTTTCCATTGTATACTTTTAGCTCCTTTATCGAAAATCAGGTGTTCATATGTTTGTGGGTTAAAGTCAGGGTCTTCTATTCGATTCCATTGGTCGACTTCTCTGTTTTTATGCCAATACCAAGCTGTTTTCAATACTGTAGCTCTGTAATAGAGTTTGAAGTCAGGGATGGTAATGCCTCCAGACGTTCCTTTATTGTATAAGATTGTTTTGGCTATCCTGGGTTTTTTGTTTTTCCATATAAAGTTGATTATTGTCTTCTCCAGATCTGTGAAGAATTTTGATGGCATTTTGATGGGGATTGCATTGAATCTATATATTGCTTTAGGTAGAATTTTCTTTCTTTTCTAAGTACTCCGTTCTCCTAGCCCCTCCCCTCCCCCAGCCGCTGAGACTTTCTGAACATTTGCCCCGGTGGAGGGCAAAGGAAGAAACAAAGATGTGGCCTCTGAGGGGCAGGATGAGGGCCTTAATCAGAGATTGCTTGGCAGGCAGAGGCCAGGAGGCCTCCCAATCTTTTTGACTTGGCAGGACCATGACAAATCATGAGGCTGAGTCCTTGATGACCGCTCATTTCCAACATGAAAACTTTGATGCAAAGGAGCAGAGCTCTGAGGGCCTGACCCCAGGTACAATCCTGGGCACGTACCCTGAGTGGGGGCAAACACCCTAGCTTTTATTTCAGGAGCTATCTTTGGCAGGAGCACACCAGCTGATTTTTGTAGCACTGGGATGGAACCCTTAGCTTCAGGCATGACAGCTAAGTGCTCTGCTGCTCAGCTATGCTCTCCAGTTTTCAAATCCACCCATCCTCCCACTCGCTCACATCACAGGGTTTAGCCCCTTCCGTCTTAGTCCCCTCGCCCATAAACCACAGACAGTCGGCTTCCATTTCCTTTCTTTCTGGGGCAGAGCAGGAGTGGGGAGGACTTTAGGAAAGTTCTCCAAGTGGGTTAGTTTGCCCTGAGTCAATGGCAAAGTTTCCCAGAGGCTGAGCTGTTCAAGGGCTATGAAAAGCTGTCCCGCCTCTTGGGGCCATAGGATCATGGAAGGTCATGTATGAGAAGCAGCATATTGTGTTAGAAAGACATTATGGAAGTCATCAATATTTAATGAGGCCTGGGGCGGGTGTGGTCCATCTGGTCGGCTGGTCAACTGTGTGATTGCAAGTTTGGCGTGGCCTTGTGTGGCATGCCAAGGTCCCTTGTCCTCAGGGACATTGGTGTCCTCAGGAATGGTATACTACCTGGCGGGGCAGACAATAAGGTGGCTCCCAACTGGCCATTTCTTTCTCCTGCTCTCTTATTTGGGAGGGAAACAATGCTAACACTTGCCAATTACTGCTGCTTATTTGGGGCCAGCTATCATCTCCTTTGTTGAGCAAACTGAGGCCTGGGGAATTCGTGAAGTTGTTCTGAGTCAAATAGTAATCAAGGTTTAGGGACGGTAATGGTAGGAAGGCCAACTAATTGAAGAGAGAAATGCATGGGCAATGGATTCAAGTATTTAGAGGCAATATCTTCACAAAGTGAGGGCCCCAAAGCTCTAAAGAAATGTAAGCAAATGGGGATAGGGTGAAAAACCTTGTTCTCAAATGCTTGCCTGTCTCTCCCAATCTTTGCTTTTGGCAGGGTTTCATGTATTCCAGGCTGGCCTCAAACTCACAAGCTGAAGACTGAGTTTCTGTTCCTGCTGCCTTCCCCTCTTAAGGCTGGAATCACAGGAAGTATCACAGGTTTTCGTGTCTGCTAGACATGCACTCTGTCGTGTCTTTGGGTGCCTTCCTTTTTCTCCTCCGGTGGAGACGTTCTTAGGCTCTGAAGATGCAGGGATGGAGTCCACGGGGAAGGGTAGGATGCAGCTTTTTCATGGTCCTATTGCTGCTGGTCTAGAAGCTGGATGCTGCTTGGCCACTGGCCCTTCCCTCTTGCTGTAGGTGACTGTGTCCTTGGCGCTATAGCTTAAGCTGCTAAAGTTTCTAGAAAATTATACCGAGGGCTATGATGCTGTCTGCCCTGCAGACAAACTTCCCCTCCTTCCCACTGTGGGCACAGTCTCTCACCTCTGTTTATTGTTCTGCCAGGTTGGCTCCTACCTTCTCCAGCTTCAAACAATGAGGCATCTCATTCAGAGAAAAAGGAAGATGCAGGAGTCACCTAAGTCCATGTGGACACAATTCCACAAGTGACCTTGAAACGACTGTGTGTTCCTGTTTGACTGAAGCCACCCTGCAAAGCTCAGGGTTCTAACTGTGCTGCCGAGAGGAGGATGGAACCTGCTCTGACAAGAGCTTCAGGTGATGCCAAACCTCAGCACAGAGTCCCGTGTCTCCTCACCAAGCACCACCTGCTGTAATCACTCCCCCGTGGGTCTAAACCGGAGGGCTGACTTTCAGCAGGATTGTGAGGTCAGGCCAGGGTGTGCTGGCCACTCTGCTGTTCATTCTTCTTCCTTAGAACCTGTATGGTAGCCTTGCCATTCCTGGGTCTTGTCCAACATCAACCACATCACCCAGCTCCTGGGCTGGGCTGAGATTCTCTTACAGCACCACCGACCCATCTTTAAGAACTAAGGCATACACATACAAAAACATATGAATGAGTATGTTTATATGTATTTACTGAACGTGTATATGTGGGCCAATGCATGTATATTCTCTACGTGTCTCTCTCTCTGTTTCTCTCTCTCTGTTTCTCTCTCTGTTTCTCTCTCTGTTTCTCTCTCTCTCTCTCTCTCTCTCTCTCTCTCTCTCTCTCTCTCTCACACACACACACACACAGACACACACACACACACACACACACACACACACGAGGAGGGGGGAAGAATTCCAGCGCCAGGTTCCACACACTAACGGCAGACAGGGTGACCTTTCCATTCCAGGAAACATTTGTTTACCTCAGCACCAGCAGCTTGTGTTCTGATCTCCAGGTGAGTGAGGGATGTGCTGGGGGCCACAGCAGGCCACCCTTGGGCGTGGAGAAAAGCATTTTTTCTCCAGGTTGTCACAAGCCTTGGGTGGAATTTGAGCTGGACTCCAGCCCAGACTTGCCCAGTGCCTGAATACCTCTCCACAAAACTCTCTGGGAATTGTGGAAGGAGCCTAACAGGAAGGACATGAAACTGAGGAGGAGGGGGACATCTGGGGAACAGATGAAGCCTCCAGGTTGCCCACAATTCAGATCATGTAGATGTCTTTCTCTTTCAAGTACTCTGAGGGCTGCAGCTGTAGGCTGGGTTAGCAGAACCCATTGCTAGGAGACCTGCCAAAGAGCCCAGCATTCTACAAGAACATAGCATAGCTCATTCTATGGTTTGAATGTGGTTGAGCCCTTCTGAAACACATGCTAAAATTTGATTGTCATCGTGGCCATGTTAGAATGCAGAACCAACAAGAGATTGACTAGGTCTTCAAGAGGGAGTAATGTCTTATTCATGGGATTGTCATAACATGAGGCTGACCCTCTCATTCTGTTTCTTTTGTACATGGACATTTCCCTGTTATCTGCTGTCTTGAGGCCAAAATCAGATATTGAGTTAGATGCTCGTACCATGTTCTTGAACTTACTAGTATTCAGAAGCGTAAGCAAAAATAAACTTCTTATCTTTATAGGCTCCCTGGTCTTGGGTATTGTGTTATAGCAACAGGAAACAAACCATGCCACGTAGGTTTTGTGGGCCTTTGCAGTGGACCATATTTTTAGCAACATGACTTTGGGGATTATTTGATCATGTTTGGTTAATCAAGGTTGTCTTGTGACAACTGGCAAGTAGCCAGGGCAATGCGCTCATACACATTTTATAGATGAGGAAAAACAGACAAGAGAGGTAGAGTGTAGTATACAGGGTTGGAACGGCCACCTTCTGGTTTTATTGTTTTGACAACGCTGCTGCTTTCAGCCAGCTTTAAATTTCATTTGATAACATGCACACACCTTTAGTGAGGCCTTTATATTTCCTGCTGGGGTTTGAGCATGAAATGAACACAGGCTCATGTGCTCAGTACTTGGTTCCCTGGTGACACGGTCTTGGGAGTTTCTGGAAACTTTAGGAGGTAGGACCTCCTTGGAAGTAGACCACTAGAGGTGTGCTTTGAAGGTTGTGCCTGGTCCCCAGTCCCTCCTTTGCGCCCTGCTTCTTGTTCATCATCGGGTGAACAGCATACATGGTCCTGCCGCCATGATGCCAAGAGCTATGGACTATAATCTCTGAAACTGTGAACTAAAATAAACCTTGTATCCTTTCATTTATTTCTATCAGGTATTTGTCGAAATAACAAAACATCGGAATAATTCACCTTTAACATGGCAGGGCCCATTCTCTCCCCACATTTTCTCAGGTCCCATGAGCCTCCTTGATTGGATTCTCCTAACTGCTCATACAATCAGTTCAGCTCCTCACATTTGGACGAGGCCTTTTCTTTCTCATGGTGGGTCCCACGCAATCCTATCCATTGCAGACAAATTGATAGTGACCTAGTACACTGGTTTGGGATCAGAGTCCCCGTCTTGTCCCTTTTAAACCTGATGTGCTTTCAACTTTATCCTGCAGACTCTTCCCCAGAGGGAAACAGAAGCAACTGCCTACAGGAAGTGTGCTGTAGCTTCCTCCACAGACTCCATGGAAACGCAAGGAGCGGGCGGGCGTGTGCATGGCATTTCTTCTAGGCACACTCCAGTTCTCCTTAGCAGCTGCTGAGCCACTGCGTGTTTTCACGGTGGCCGATCCTAATCCGTAGTCTCTCCAAAACAAAGCAGGATAATTGAGTCACAGACTATCAGAGAAAAGCTTCCATCTGGTCAAATGCCCTCAGTGTACAGGCGATGACAGCTACGACAGCGGAGACTTGGCATTACTTGCTCAAGGCCACCCCACCTAGTTCTGGGTGGAGGGAATAGTCTAGTCTCACACTGAACTTGCTAGTGTGATGTCTCCTGACAGCTTGACAGATCAGCTGCTTTTACCTTGGAAGCCGGGCTCCAGGGGCTTGTCTGGATGCCCCGAGGCTTGGGAGAATAAAAGCAACCCCACTTCTGAATTGATCTTGTTTTTGTCTGTCCTCTATTCTTTGCAGATTCCCATTCTCCTTTGGGAGCATTGATCCCTCAACACATACACACCAAGCACCTTTAAAAAAAAAATCAAAAGATTAAAAATTTAAAATTAAAATCATTTAAAAATTTAAAAAAAGTTTTTTTTTTAAATGCTAGCCTAGGTTATATCTAATAAGACAGGCAGAGTTCCAGGCCTCAGCTAAAAGAAGCTGGAAGCTTATTTACAGTAATGAATCCTAGAATTATTATTTGTGTGGATAATCCTAGAACTACCTGTTGGGTAAAAGGGAACAACTGGAGCAGGAAACCAGCCAATCACTGAGCCAGTAAAAGAACCACGTCCTGGATCTGAGACCTGGGCCAGAGAAAGAAACATTTTTTTTATTGATTTTATTGAGCTCTACATTTTTCTCTGCTCCTCTCCCTTCCTCTCCCCTCCCCTTCAACCATCTCCTATGGTCCCCATGCTCCCAATTTACTCAGGAGAGCCTGTCTTTTTCTACTTCCAATGTACATTAGATCCATGTATGTCTCTCTTAGGGTCCTCATTGTTGTCTAGGTTCTCTGGGATTGTGATTTGTAGGCTGGTTTTCTTTGCTTTATGTTTAAAAACCACTTATGAGTGAGTACTTTTGATATTTGTCTTTCTGGGCCTAGGTTACCTCACCCAAAATAATGTTTTCTAGCTCCATCCATTTGCCTGCAAAATTCAAGATTTTTTTTTTCTGCTGTGTAGTACTCCATTGTGTACATGTACCACATTTTCCTTATCCATTCTTCAGGTGAGGGGCATTTGGATTGTTTCCAGGTTCTGGTTATGACAAACAATGCTGCTATGAACATAGTTGAGAACATGTCCTTGTGATATGATTGAGCACCCTTTGGATATATACCCAAAAATGGTATTGCTGGGTCTTGAGAAAGGTTGTTTCCTAATTTTCTGAGAAATCGCCACACTAACATACAAAGGGGTTGTACCAGCTTGCATTCCCACCAGCAATGAAGAAGTGTTCCCTTTTCCCCACAACCTCTCCAGCATAAGTTGTCATCAGTGTTTTTGATCTTGGCCATTCTTACAGGTGTAAGATGGAATCTCAGAGTTGTTTTGGTTTGCATTTCTCTGATGACTAAGGATGTTGAACTTTTCCTTAAGTGTCTTTCAGCCATTTTAGATTCCTCTGTTGAGAGTTCTCTGTTTAGGTCTGTACTCCATTTTCTTTTTATTGGATTATGTGTTCTTTTGATGACCAATTTCTTGAGTTCTTTGTATATTTTGGAGATCAGTCCTCTGTCTGATGTGGGGTTGGTGAAGATCTTTTCCCATTCTGTAGGCTGCCATTTTGTCTTGTTGACTATATCCTTTGCTTTACAGAAGCTTTTCAGTTTCAGGAGGTCCCATTTATTAATTGTTTCTCTCAGTGTCTGTGCTGCTGGGGTTATATTTAGGAAGTGGTCTCCTGTGCCAATATGTTCAAGTGTACTTTCCATTTCCTGGTACTCAACTTCATATGGAAAAGTAAAAAGCCCAGGATAACCAAAACAATCCTGTACAATAAAAGAACTTCTTTCTGGAGGCATCACAATCCTGACTTCAAACTCTAGTACAGAGCTACAATACTGAAAACAGCCTGGTATTGGCATAAAACAGATAGGAGGACCAATGGAACCAAATCAAAGACCCAGATATTAATCCACACACCTATGAACATCTGATTTTTGACAAAGAAGCAAAAAATATAAAATGGAAAAAAAGAAAGCATATTTAACAAATGGTGCTGGCATAAATGGATATCAACATGTAGAGGAATGAAAATAGATCCATATCTATTACCATGCACAAAACTCAAGTCCAAATGGATCAAAGACCTCAACATAAAGCCTGCCACACTGAACCTCATAGAAAAGAAACATTTTTATCCCTGAAACAAGGATTAAAGACACACACCCTGACTCTGAAACTAGTGTTAAAGAAACACACTTTGTCTCTAGCATCAGAGCCAGTAAAAGAAATATGCCTTGGTTATAAGATTAGAGTCAAAAGCTAAAAGTACCAGTGAAAGAAACACAGTTTGGGCATAAAATCAGAGCCAACTCTGCCCCTGACCAACTAAGTTGACCAATCCCTAAGCAGGGAAAACTAACCAATCCCTCTTCTCCCTGGGAAAACTCCACCCCTAGGAAGCCCTATATAAGTCTCTCCACCCCTTCCATCAGGGGCCACCATTTATATCTCCCTGGTAGAGGCAGGTACTCTCCTGGACTCCTCCTTCCCAAATAAATCTCTTTCTCAAAAGAGTCTTGGGTGACAATCTTCATTTACCAGCGCAGAATAGAAGAACCTGGCTGGGATGTCCCTCAGGGGACCGAGCTGAAAAACCTTGCTGAGATGCTCCCCTAGGGGCCTGAGCAAGGTGGAGCAGAACAGAAGAACCTTGCTAGGAAGGCTGAGCAAGGCCGAGCAGAAAAAAAAGTAACAACTTTTCCCCAGAACAGGAGGAGATTGCTGCATTTCTTCAAGGGCATCCACTTTAGAAGGGTGTTAGCAAAAGAAGAAACATCTTGGGCGGGAGAAGAAGCAGATAGCTCTGCTAGGACGTTCCCTTTAAGGAAGAGAACAGAGTTCAGCCGTAGCCGCTCTCCAGGAGAAGAGCTGGATTGTTATATCTTTGGGGAGACCATAGCCAAGCCCATCCCAGCTTCAGTTAGCCTGACTTCCAGATAGTCAGGCCACCTGTCCTCCAGGGATGAGCTGTCCGATTCTGGCTCTAAGTTTAGCCTGACTTCCCAATAGTCAGGATGTCTCTGCAGCACTACAACTGTAACACATTCCCCTACATCACCTGTTTGGGATCCTGAATCGACTCTCCTAGCATCTATGTCTAAAACTATTCCCTCTGTTTCCTGTGACCCTCCTTGGACTCCAAATCTTGATTTATAGGTATCTCTAGATGGACAACTAGACCTACATTCTTCTGTCTGGCTTAAGCACCTTAGAACAAACCAACATCACCCTGCTTTTGAAGGAATGCCTGGTCTAGCCTCTGCCCTGGCCAGGACTAGGCATTGTTTTGTGTTCATGTGATCTTCCTGAACATCGGCTTTGGATCTAAACTTCTAAATCTTTTATGTTGATGTCTTATTTCAGACAGGGTCTCATGTAGGTCAGGCTGGTCTAGAACTTTCTGACTTTGAACTCCTGATTCTCCTGTTCCTGCCTCCAGAGTTCTGGGATTTTAGGCATCAGTTGGTTCTAAATCCGAAGAGTATCTGATTTCATGTCAGTATCTGACTTCGGCTTTGGCATTTGGGCCCACAGTAAGTGTATATCTCCTCCCTGAACGACATCCCTTCAAATGCAACCTCAGACCAAGGCAACTTCCTGCCCTCATGGCCGCCAGCTTGGGGCACCTCCTATTCTAGTTCTATCTCCTCTTGGCCGACTTCATTTGAGGCAGTCCATGGCCCGTAGCTGACACATCCTCCTAACAGACCTTAGATAAATATTTATAAAGTTGAATCAACTCAGGAGTGGTTCAGAAATTCCAGGAGCATCTAAAAGAATCCAGTGGCCCTGTCTGTGGTTTAATGGTTTATTCCATGTTGAAAATGCCCCTCATCCATCCTTTTACTTCTCTTTGCTTCAGAGGTTTGGAAGAAATGCAGATGTCTTGATAGGGGCACCATGATGAGTGTGGGAACAGTCTTCCACATGTGACTTGTGTATTCGGCGGCCTCAAGCCCAGCACTTTGTCCCATGTCTGTCCAGCCCTGCATTTGGAAGTGCTGGAGCTGGACACAGGTCCTACCTGTCACTGGCTGGTCTGGAGGGTGTCCTTACCTCCCTACTTCTGCATAACAGACTCTGTCCCCAAAGAAGATAGAAGTAGAGCTAGCCTTGGAGACTGTCTTAGTCACTGTTCTATTGCCGTGAAGAGACACCATGACAAAGGCAACTTTTATAAAAGAAAGTGTTTCATTTGGGGCTTGCGTGCAGTGTTTTAGAGGGTTAGTCCATTATTCGTTATCATCATGGTGAGAGCATTGGAGGCACATACGGCACCTGAGCAGTAGAGAGCTTTTACATCCTGAGTCACAGGGAAGGAGAGAGAGAGAGAGAGAGAGAGAGAGAGAGAGAGAGAGAGAGAGGCAGGGAGGGACGAAGGGAGGGAGGGAGAGAAGAGAGAGAGAGAGAGAGAGAGAGAGAGAGAGAGAGAGAGAGAGAGAGAGAGATCTGGAGCATGGGGGGAGGGGGGACAGAATCTATGATGTCATTATCTGACCTCTGTGACATAGGCTTTTGATACCAGAGAAAGCCGCTTCCGGGGAATGAGCCCCTCAGCTCCCACTGGGGGCGGCAACGCCGCCCCTTAGGCAAAGCTTCAGTCTCTGGGAGCCATTTACCTGCTGACCCTACTGTTGCTGCCAGTGGGTCTGACAATCACCTCGGTCAAGGCCAGGTTGAGTGAGAGGGACACCACTGTGAAGGGTGACAAGTGGCCAGGGGAGCCAGCATGCCAGGAAGTCAGGATGCTGACAAAATCTGTGTGTCAGGGATAGAGGGACAAAACCCTGCACCACAGAAGAGCTCTGCCTGACAGAGGCCTTGAGGCACCACTAGGAGTGGAATTCAGGGTAAGAGTCTGTGTAGGGGGTCAGAGGCTGGAGGCAGAGGAGACTGTTTTGTGACTCTGCTTTCTCTTCCCTTTTTGAGGAAGAGTGTCTTGGAAACAGCAGAAGGAATCCACATGGGTAAAACTGCCCATTATCTCCATTCCTTTCCCATCTCCATCCTTCTGATCTGCTCCGCTGCTTTACCCTTCTCTAGAGCATCCGCCAGGTTTTCTGACCTCAAAGGTGACAAACAGCTGGTGTCTTTGCTGTTATGTTGAGACAGATGCCTGTAACCCAGGTTGGCCTTGATTTCCTTGTGTCCCTGCTGGGATACAAGCTTTAGCCAGCATGCCATGTTTATGTGCTCTTGGAGATCAACCCCAGGACTTCATGCATGCTAGGCAAGCGCTGGCTCTACCAGTTGAACTACACCCGAAGACCTCACATCTAGGGTTGTGATAAGTTCACACTGGAACTGAGTGCCTGGAGCAGAGTGAGTCCAGAAGTGGACCGATTGTTCCAACATCCTGATCTCTGTCTTTTTCTCTGCAGGTCTTCCAGACTGGGTCTTCCTCTCAAGGGGCAACCCTAACTCCCCATTTCCGTACATCTCTAGCGAATGGCTAAGAAAAAGTGAAGAGCCAAGCTTAGATGCAGGCTCCGGACTGAGCACACGAGAGACAAGCAGAAGAGGCTTCGTGTCCCGTTGGCCTGCTGCTGACGTCTGCAGCGAAACTAGGCAGCGGCCACACTGCTGTGGCAGAAGGCAGTCACCAACTAGGAAGGTCTCTAATTAGTCTTGTGGCCCCGCCCACTTTTTTCTGGATTCAAGGCGATGTTGCCTCAAAACAAGGACCAGGTGCTGCTACCGAACACAGTGCCCCCAGGGTGTCCCCCTCAGGTCCTCTCACAGTTTGCTGACTCCCCTCCATCCAACTTAGCATCTCTCGCCCCCCATCAGTCCCTCCCTCCTCCTCACCTACCTTTGCCGTCTTACAGGCCAGCCTATTTTTCCTTCTCTTCTCCGCCACAGCCCCACTCTCCTGGGCCTCACTGCTACTCTTCAGACCCAAATTCTGACTTTGTTCCCCTCCCATTCTCCTCCTCCCTCCAGAGTTCCCCCACTTTCTTTCACCAGAACTACCCTCGTCCTCCTTCAAGACACTCATCCCCTCCCCTCAACCACCAGTGTGCCTCCCCTCCTCTTTCCCAGGTACAAAATTCCTCTCCTCCCTCTTGCCAGTCTCCTCCCCACCTCCAGGGCATCCATAGTTCCACGGCCACGTCCCCCAGCCCCAACCCCCCTTCTGGAGGGATTTCCAGTAACAAACAAACACAGCAGTGTCCTCAATCCAAAAACACCAGGTCCCCTGGGGTGGCAGGGGGATGCAAGGTAAGCAAGGTGGACCCTGCAGAGTTCAAGGACCCAATGGCCCTCGCCCAAGCCCTAGCCGACCGTGTGGGGCGCCGCAGAATTGCAAGAGATCTCAAGCTACTGTTTTGGCAGCACCTGTGTCTCGGCACATCCACACCCAGCCAGGCCCCAGTCGTGGAGTACCCCATTTGTCTACAGTGCCTCCAGCCCCGCACCCAGTCTTGCCCCACCCCCAAGTACAAGACGGAAACAAGGCTGCTTGCCTTCCCTCAACTACTGCCCTGTGCTCAGGGCCAGGAGTCTGGGCCTCTCCGCATAGGTATTGGCTTCGGCCTCCGCTTGCCTCTGGGCCAGGCCAGAGCCTTGCATCTGCTACCACCAAAAAAACGGCAGGAAGCAAGTCCTCAAGGAGAGGTCGTCCTGAGGCAACCGCCTACAACCCAGACCCCAGAAGCTCAAGTTATGGACACACTCTCCCAGGCCGGGCCCCTCAAGTTTGCAGGCCTCCAATCACTAAAATCCAGCCAATGTTCCGTGCCTCCAGCTCAGGCACCAAGAAGGGTCACTGCCTCCCCAAGGCCCAGATTGTCT